TTTTTTTTTTTCTTTTAGTGAAACGCGCATCCTTTTTAATAAAAATGATTTCTCTTTTAAAAGGGCATCGAATTAAATTCCAGACCTGACAGATCGATCGCACTGTATCGAGAGTAAACAGGTGATGAGAGAAACGGGAGCGCGCAAGGGTGGAGGCGTCGAAGGCTAATAATAAAAGCGAAGGAATGTTTCCTGTACGTGTTGGTAACGTGGAGAAGAACGATAAGGGTTGGTGATAAAACTGGGTGGTAGTGATATGGATGGAATGACGGAAAATTGGTGGAAACAAAAGATGATGAGTACTGGAGCGAGTTTACGCGGTAAATGGAATCTCTGGGGGTGTGTTTTCTTGCATTTAGTGTATTTCTGTGCACAATGTAGACTGTACCACTGTAATGGTCCGTGTTATGTCGTGGAACATGCGAAATTAATTTATTATAATAGCCAAAAATAATATTTTAATCGTTCAGATAAAGAAATTTCTCTTTTTAAATTCTTTTCTAAAACAGAATACGATTCTAATAATTCTAATCTCAAATAATTCGTAATATTTAATAAACTTCACTATTATACTATAAAAATAATTATAAATACGAAACTATTTTATAAAGTTTAACTTATAAAGTTTAACATTTTATGAAGTAATATTTGATTGATTTAATTAATTTACAATCTCTCCATATCGCGACCTGCTCCAATTCCCCAATTTATATTAAAACAACTTCACTTTTCAAACATATCGCGGAAAAAAAATATAGGAAAATATTCACACAATTTCTATAAAACGAATGGCAACACACACGATCGATGAACAATACTCCACAAAGCGAATATCTAACAAGGAAAATAAGAAGAAGAAGAAGAAGAAGAAGAAAACGTAAAAAACGAAGGAAATCTCGAAAGAAGAGCAGCGAAAGGCATAAAAGATGTAACAGTTGGATGCATTATCGAACGAGACCAAGGATGAAAAATTAACGAATATAGAGGCAGTTTCGAAACTAGGCTCGACGAGGCTGAGTGAAAACGGTGGGTGGGAGGCGATGGAGGGGTGGAATAAAAATGTAAGCGGAAAACAAGTGGAGGTTATAGGGGCGGATACGTGATGAACACGTAAAACGTGGAAAAACGTGGAAAAACGTGGAAACACGAGGGGGCGTGCGAAGAGCGAGAGGCAGGTCTGCCACTTGACTTTGGCCAAGCGGAAGTGGCCTAGACGAAGACAAAGAGAGACGGAGGAGGAGCGAAGAGATATCAAGACGCTGGAAACAGCTATGCTACGTGTCGTAAGAGTCATTAGGCCTGGTTTTTCTAATCTTTTGATTAAAGCAACTGACCATCCCTTTATAATTTTTATTCATATTCCCGTTTCCCGATATTGCAAATTGTAAATTGGCAAAACGCTTGGATGTGTGGAAATTGGATAAAATTTCAAAGATAAAATGATTAAACGTAAATATTTGTTGTTAATTCAAAGCTTGGAACGAATACTTGAATATTACGAGAATTAATCGTCTTATTAATGTAATGAAAATATCGTAATAAATACTTCAAATTCAAGTGATTCAATATAACAAATTATTGATAAATTAGATCAGTAGAATTATTCAATTCATATTATTATCGTAATATTCTTGGACAAGATATATCGAATTTGTTCAAACTTTGATTAACATTAATAAAACTATAAATATCAAAAGTCTTATTTTTTAAGAATTTCATTATCCGTAACAATTTAATAAAAATAAGTCCAAGCAATCCTGTCTCTGATTTTATCAAAAATCTCTCATTTTTATTTTTTAGATCGCATATCTTGCGATTTTCTAATATTCAGCGAGGGATAGTGAAAATAGTTGTTAAAGGGAAATTTCGTTGTCTACACAAGAATCGAAGGATTGAAACTGACACTGCGCTGATATTAGAGAATCCGTGCGTTTAAAGCTGTGTCGAACGCACGTGATCGTTGCAAGTGGAATCTTTTTCCTCCCTTCTCTTTCTTTTTTCTCTTTTTCCTTTTCCCCACTTTGGTAATGGAAAACCGTTATAAAGTAGCTTCTTTTAAATCCCGCCCTCTCTTTCTTTCCTTCCTTTTTCCTCCAAAGATCGCACGGATGCTTTTTTTCCCCGGACACTTGTAGATTTATATGCGACACCTAGAGAACGTGGACTTTGGATCTGGTTTATAAATATTTTCGAAGCGGTCGGCCAGCTTATCGATCTCGCCGTGGAGCGTGATGCAAGTTTTTGCATAGCGTGTGCATTCGGGTGAGGTGGAACGTTACTCGGAAAATGTGATTTTTAAAGCTCGCGGGGCATGAAGAGGATTATAAGCATAAGTTGGTATGGTGGGAATTAAGAAGCTTAAAATTTTCAGTCTTGAACGTAATCGTTATACGAGTATCGTCGAAAACTTCTTTTTCCAAGAGATACAGACGGATGAACAAGGCAATCTAAAAATTTCTCCATTTCTCCTCTAAGCAAAATTTAAAAAAAGGAATCTAAAAAAACAGAACACTAAAACCACTCGTTGTTTAGAAAAATACAATTTACCGAAAAACCCCTCAATTTAATCCAAAAAACCACTTCAATTTATCCACTCTCCTGGAGGAATTCAAACTCTCCTTCACCCCAAACGATAAATCATCTAAACCATTCGACTAAGATTTCTCACGATTTTTCTCCAAATCCACCGAAAACGAAAATCCTAAACATTGAACAACCGTCTGAGAACCTAAAATCTATCGAACGAGATCCCGTACCGATTCATCCCTTTCTCTCTCTCCTTCCCTCTCTCTCTCTCCCGTGCCATCTCGCGCCACAGCGGCGGAGAGAGCGTGTTCCGCTCGAGATGGAGCACCTTTCCCGTCCTCCGAATCGGTTAATCGGTTCGACAACAATCGTCGGGACTCACGTTTCTTCTCATCTCGCGTCGAATCCAGGGCCGTGCTCACGTGCGGCTGTCCGATGGTCGCACGGTCGTTGCACCT